AAGTATGTCCTCTAACTGAATTTTGCTGGGGGATTATGTGTAGTTCATCCACTTTTGTATAAATCGCAATAAAGAGTGGATAACACCCCCTCTGATGCTGGTAAGTTGAATTTCTCGTAAAATATTTTCTTAACGAGTAAAAGTTAAACATGCTCCCAGCACTTTCTGTGTACCAGAGATCGCGATGAATTGATCTATGTAACAAACTTTGCACAATATTTTTGTTTTGCACTTGTGCCGAAGCGATTTTTGTGCAACATTTAGGAATATTAAAAATCTCCTCAACGTGATCAACACTGTCATGTGACGTTACAAAAATGCTTCATTTTAATACCTGGTTAAACTATTATGTCAAGTTGACTGCAATTTCAAGCAAGGATTACATATTGAAATTAAAATCTAGCTCAAGATAAAATGTATATTTTAAGGCATTTTAAGCCTTCGGACATCCTTATCATAACTGCGAAGTGCGCTTTTTCTCGATTTATTTCTCCATGTTATTAAAACTGCATAGAAAAGTTTTCTAACCGAGTATTCCTACCATATTCTTCATAACTGTTGTTAATATTCATCTTAGCCCAGAAATTGAGGCCATCGAACATTTCGCCTATTTATACTGCAAATTCGGTTTGCAAAATAATTCAGTCCAACTCGCTGCGTACAGATGTCAATTATGAGAATACTTGATAGTGGGGTACGGAAGTTTTTGAAATCTAGCTTTTTGCACTATATGCACAATATATATACATTTTTTTCAATGGCTGGCACTGTATCTGTCCTGAGTCTGTCAATATATATATTTGTATATTTTTTTTCGGAGAGCTATACACCCATTCTCAATATAAGGGCTCAAATAATGTCGCCTCAGTTTCATTTAGAAGAAATACCACTGATGTAATTTTTAAATCAACATTATAAATAGTCATATAACAATGAATAAGAATTCATATAATTATCGATCTGAAAGGGTATTTAAGGAGTTCCAAATTCAAATATAGTAGCCTATTTGAAATGTACGTTACTGTCGCCGACGCAAATATTATGCTGATTCCCCTCTGTGTAATATATAGTTTTGATTCTCAAGTAAAAATTTTCTGATAAGTCAAACCTTGTATCATATATATTTCTTTTCATAACAATAAATACATTTTCTTTGTGATAATAAATAATTTTTATTGTGCAATGTCCCTGTCGCTTAATTCTATTTCAACCACATTACAAGCAAACACAAAGATTATACACCTGATGGTTTTGTTCTCCTTTATTTATTGATGGGCTAAATTTGAAATTTCAAAGGATTAATTACTCCTACTTCGATAATGTAACATGAAATTGGACAATTTGAGCAACTTTTATAAATATGTTTACGGAATGAAAGACATTTTCAATCGTAGAGATAAGAAAGAAATGTACGTTACCTATATTCTTCCATTAAGAATATATATTAAGTAGAAAATATGAGACGAGTCTGAATAAGCAACCGCTTGTATCCTGTAAACTGGCAAAGAAGTTTTGCTTAACACAATTGAAAATTATTTTTTACATGAAAAGTGATCATTTGAAATGTACGTGACTGAAATGTACGTTACCATGAAATTCGAATTAAGTGATTCTCGCACGAATTTTCATGTATTCTCATACTTTCTCACACTCGAATGTGTACACAAAGGAAAGTTTCAAAGGTTGGAGGTCGGCTAAATCCCAAAATTAATGAAAAGAAACGTTTCTGCTGAGGGAAAAAATATATTAAGGTCAATTATATGTAATATAATTTTGATACCTGGTATTTATTTCTAAATACGAAACCTGTATGATGCATTTCTTATGATATGCAAGTTCAAATAGTATCAATATATTGCGTGTCTAACGTACGCTTGTGGAAGAGAATTGATTTTTATATTTGAAATGTACGTTACGTATGGTAACGTACATTTCACGTATTTCTAACTGACATTTTTTTAATTTAGTCAATGAATTGCGTTTACACGAGCGAAACAAAATTATCGTTACAATCCATTTGACAGCTGGCCACATAAATCCATCTAAATGCACCCCCAATTCTCGTAAATGTTTTAGACTGTTACCACATGCTAGAAAATTTATTTCTAAGTGCCTTACATTCATCTTTGGCAACCTTTTTGCAGTTTGTTTAATTTTGATATGCGACTTTTCGTCAATATTAATTTAATTGTTGTTGATAATTTAAAACAAGGTATGCATAGGATTATAATTGGTAAAAAAAAAACAAAAAACAAACAAACAAAAAGAAAGAAAAAGAAACAAAGCAAATAAACCCAGAACACAAGACGGTCAAGACATTTCAAATACTGAAAGGCACACAATTGAATCATTGCATTTTGGGTTATATTTTTCCAGATCGGCTGAAAAGCACGTATGTTTGTGTTTTGAAAAACGATGTTGCAACAAACTAAATGAAATTGTTAACAAGACTGTCGATGAATATACTAGTATTCGGAATAGATTTATATTAAGTTTCAATGGCCAAACACGAGCATTTGTTAGATCATAGCAAATACGTCTGACTCTTTTTTTTTGTCTGTACCCTTGCACACAGGTAGAAGTAACTAGGCTACGGCCGGTGTCAATTTCAGCGAAACAACACAAAAGAATGGTAATGAACTGAGGTGGAGGGGAATCTCCAATAATATGTGAAATGAACGTTACCGAAGTGACGTGACATTCATGTAGTTGATGACAATAACCTCATTTGTTACATTATGATTTTTTATATTACTGCGTTAAAACGCTTCATTGAAATGATTTTTATGTCAATAATTGCTTTTTTTCGATATTTTCTTATTACTAAATTTACATATTATCAAAAGCTTGAAATGTACGTTACCTACTCATAATCTGAGGCAATCGTGTCTTTATAGTGGTGATTGTGACATATAACACAATGTCATTACATAGAGAATCTTTTTTGGAATAAACTGAAACAAAACGATGAATTTTTAGATGAATTTTAAGCTTTTTATTAAACAGAAATATATCGTGAAATGTACGTTATATTTACGTAGTTTTCTAAATCGGCATGGATATATGTTAAAAAAGACAGTAACTACAAAATAGAATTTTACTACATGTACATGTTAGGTTCCAGTATCTATAGAAAATGACAAGATTCCAAACTGATCGCTCTAAACAAAACAGAGAGAAGAATTTAAAGCATGTATTTAAAAAATGTTTTTATACATCTGGATCAAAAAGTAACCTTTGTTTTTTGAGAGGAAAAATCAAACGCAAATTCGTATGCCGAGAAAATATGTTGCTGACAGAGATGGTAGGATGTGCTGGTGTTAAGATGAGATATTCCAATTGTGATTTTAATGTCTACATTTTTTTTGACATATCTTTTTGGACACTGAAGAAAGAGTAACGTACATTTCCAGCTACATTTCTGAATAAAAATACCCTCTACCTTATCGTCTTGTCATTACTCCATGTATTATAAGTTGATGAAAAAATATCTGGAAACAAAATCTTCAGATACTTTCTTTCAAAGGTAATTGATAGAAAAATTGTTATCTTGAACTTCATTTTTTAAAAAATCAGAGAGGCATTTGTGCCCTTATATTGAGAATGGGTGTATAGTGCTGCAGCAAGGCTCCAGTCTACAAACTTTTTGATACTCCTAGGAATTTCATTAGTTTTATACTCTAATATTTATAAAAATGCGATAAATATATAGACTGAATAGAATATACTATTTATTTTCAAATAAGTATTATGAGACATGACATGTAACAATTATGATTTCATATACTAGTAACAGATTATTACAATATGCATGTAACAAATAAGCTCAATGTTCAATTGTATTATGATACGATGCGTTTATCACAACTTACAATGTGACTTAACATATTGTTCAGCTTGTATTTCATGTTATGATGACTAGATACATAAAGGGAAAAAAATATTTCGCAAAAGTTTGGTTAGCTTATAAGTTCTACATTTGTTGCATCAGTCGTTTTTAAAATACATGACTTGTATATAGATTACTGGTAAATACACAGAAAATATCATAACAAATAAAGATGTAATAATGAAATGAAATTGAGGCAGTAAATTTACGTTTAACATACACTCTTCTGTAAAACGGAAACACTGCATATACAATGAAGAAAAACAGTTGATAAAATTGAATCTAAATTGCACCGACAAATAATATTTTGCTTTCGACTGTTTATCTTTTCAAAATTATCAATTTTAGTAGCAATAAGTCCAATTTTAACAAAAATTGGAACCATTACTCTTTAAAAAATATAATTATGTACATCACCTGTTTTGTATATGTAACTTAGAATATTTTATTGAATATAATGAACTATATGAATATGATACTTTCTACTACATAGAATTAAAAAAATAAAACAAAAATCACTAAAAAGTTAAAGATTTCCATTAGCTGTGATTATCTTTACTTATAACATGTATAAACACAATTAGAAAACAAATATCTAAATTTTACTGGCTGCATGTTTATTAATTCTTGTTATTTTCTGAGCTTTTTATTGATGTTGAAAAGTCGGGAGAAAAATATTTGGATATGCAAGGTCATAATATTTTGTCATATTAATGAAAAAAAGCTTTTATTCTATCAAACCACGAAAGAACAGGCTTTTTTTGAGTGTCGCTGTTATCACATTCTGGGGTCAGTAAACTTTGTATTGCATCATGTTGAGAAATTCTTTTCCATCCGTCTGGAATTTCCGGACTTTCAGTTTTGTAATGTTGCATCAACTGTAGACAAAATTTGGCAGTAAACCAGCACCAGTACTTAGATGCAGAAGTATCTTTAGGTGGAATGGTCCACTCGGGAATCCAGTTTTGATAATCTTTTAAAGGATGATATATTTCACATTTGTCTTCTACACACTGACACCATTGTCCACATTTCACCAAACCATTTCGACTGACTAAACGGTTACAATTTTCAATTGCTAATTTTTTGGTTTGTACGAAATAGAAACCTTTTATTCCAAATGGTCTATGTTGAACACAGGAATGGGGAATTTTATCAGCTTTAACGTGATCTTTTGTTGTGTTCTCACAAGGCTCAAAACAAAGAGGACAGTGCTCATTGCAACCCAGAGAGTATTAAATACTGTTAGAAAGGGATCTTTGCCTCCAGTAGTTAATGAACCATCAGATTGATTTGTAAATTCGTTTTGCAATTCAAGCTCAACATCCATGATCTTTTTTGCAAGCTTTGTATAAAAGGACTTCACATCATCCAAGGAGTCGTTGGATAATAATGCTGTGCATCCCGTATCGAGTTTGTAGCCGAAAAGATTGTCTTTGAAAGTCTGTATCCAGCAACGAATTGTATTATTTGGAACATCTTTATTGACATGAGTTGCAACCTCCATGATAAATGAAATTTCTTTCGATAAAGCATCAATATTGAGACGTCTAATGTAAGTCTCACAAGAATCATCGCCCTCTTGGCTTAACATATTAACAGCTTTTTCCTTCATCCACTGCTTAGCAAAGCCCTCAGGGTCTTTTATATAGGACACAAAAGTATTGAACTTTTCAGCTAAAGCTAAATCCTCTAATATTGCATTTATCAACTTGCGTTTTAAAAAGGAAAAATGTTCTAACAATCTCCCCTTAAATAATTCTGCTACTGAATGCTCTACGTTTTTTCTAATTTGCAATTTTAGTTCATTGCATATATAGTTAGAGACAATAACTGTTTCTTCTTCTCTTAAAAGGATATTTTCAAACACCTGTTTTGCTTGCGACATTTTCGAAATGGTAAATGCTCGAGGACTGTGTTTATCTTCATAACGTCTATTAAGGATAGAAAATTCCCTGAAAGAGATTTGTGCAGCTTTTATGGCAAATTTTATCTGATACTCTGGTGTTAGAGAAAACGTTTTGTCTTTGTTTTGTGTGGTTATTTTCTCTAATAATTTTGATAAAATGTCATTCTTGAAATCTTTTTCGTCGTATTCCCAGTCTTCTTCAGCTTGGTTAAAATAGGTGTCAATTTCTTTGAAAATCTCCCTTGTTACTTTCAAAGTCATCAGTTTGCATTTCCGCAGAGTTTTGTGGTTTAAGATCCTTATCATTTTCAGCTTTGATTTCAAATTAATATGTTCATCAAGGATATCCTCTTCAGACAATGCCAGGTTCATATCGTTTTGCTCTTGGCAGCAATCTATAGGTTCGATTTTAAGTGCCTCTTTTAGAAGGTGTTTGTGTTTGTTAAATGCACCATAAAGAACAATCAATATTCCATCTCGAAGCTGCTTTTTGTTTGCTTTGTATGTTTCAAGTGGCACATCGCAGACGTGTTCATTTAATAATAATTCCCACATTTCAGAAAAAAATGTCTCTTTCTCATCTTCAGAAAAGTTTCTATCTTGGATACTTTTTGCATGTTTGGCAACTTTTTCAAGAAGTTTTTTCTCCATATCTTTGTCATTGTATTTCCATTCTACCTTATAGTGAAAAACCTGACGACTTAGTTTGCGCTTGAACACTGTTTTTAAGATGTTTGATGTTTCTCCTATTGCCCTGATTTTAGTTTCTTTCCACTGTATCATTTCAGACTTTAAATCAGAAGAATGTATATATTGTTCCAGGAATGTTGTTTTTGATGTTGTTAGTTCGTCCAAATCAGTACAGAACTGAGAAAAAAGCCTCGATTCAGTTATTTCTATGTCTTGACGTGGAGCACAATATAAAGCAGTTTTCACTGTTTTTCTCCAAAATTCGTTTGAAAACTTTTCTAATGCATAACTTTGACGACTTGTTTCCTCTTGCAAAAGATTATACGCTTTCATATGCATGATATTCTGAAAACTAAAAACAAAATCCTCATTAAGAATGCCTTTCCATATACTTTCAATTCGACAAAAGGTATTTGAAATGTTATAAAATGATTCAAATTTTCTGGAACATTGTTCAATGACGTGCTTTCCAATCCGCTGTACTTCGTTACTATAGGATTTGCTTACAGGAGCCATTGGTGGAGTTCCATGCCACAAATTGGGTAAATAAATGACATCATGTCTAGAGTCAAAGGATATAACGTCGTTAAATGAAGATATATACTCCATATGTTCATGTTCAGCAATGTTACTTGTAATTGCATTCAATTTGTTTAGGGTCTCTTCAATTTCAGACTCCAATTTGGCTCCATTGCCTAATAAATAGACATTTTGATGTACAAAAATGCACGATTGGCGAAGTTCTATATCATTATTGGCCTGTTTTAACCGCATTAATGCATGTATAACAATTTGTAGTGTATCTTCCATACAAGTAACATTCTCGCCTTTAATATTAAGAATAACTGTATCAGCAATTCCAATTGCAAGCGTAGCAAGCTTGTTGTCATGACTTGTTCTGCCTGTATGTTTACTAGAAGAACGAAGTCCTTCCGTGTCAAAAATGAATGCATATTCAAAGTTCAAGTGCGGGTTAGTGACAGGCAGCAAATGTAGATTAATACCTCGAGTACACCTCCCAGAACTTGCAGGAAAATCAAGGCCAAACATAGCATTCAACAACGTTGACTTTCCAGAACTTTGAATACCCAAAACAGATATTGAATATACTCTCTTGTTACCTTTGATTTTTGCCATCTCAGTAAATATAGCTTTTACCCATTTTAATGAAATATCAATTGCTTCCCCATTCATTATCTCAAATGATCGACCTAGAATAAGTATGTGGGCAACAATACGAGGTAGTAATTGTACAGCAAACCATGTCGTTCTTTCAATATGATAATCACACATGTCCTTGCAGTAACTAAAACTTTCAAATATTTGCCCAAGTTCTCGAAATAAATGAACTAATCCAAAGTTTGCAGACTCCAGATTTTCTTGGATAGTCTTTACTTGGTCTCTTCCTGACTCACGACGATACGTTTCTACTAGCTCATGTGTCATCTGAGGAAGTATTTTTCTTGATTTTTCTTCCAATAAATTCTCAATGTCTGAGAGAAAAAACTGCACTGCTTGTGCACAGCCTCTTTGTGACAATATTATGGCAATAAAATCTGCAACTAGTTCCATATTTGAAATGCATTTTTCAGCCTGTTGAATTCTTATTTCAGACAGCGTATCTTCCATTTTTGTCTCTATTGCATATGATTCTGACGGGCTAGTTTGTTTTAGCTTCCAGTGAATTGCACTCCATCTGGTCAGTAAATCTTTGCCTTGAAGAGGCAGCATGGCATCTTTACTTTTAAAATCCCGAAGAACAGTTTTCAAGTATGAGAAAAATCTTTGAATACGTGGCGGTTTACTGTTCCAATCATTGCATCTAAGAAATCCTTCCTTACATAATAGTTTTATTGCATTTTCTAACTGCACCTTCTCCTCATCATTGTTAAGCAATTTGTTAATTGTTTTGCATAATTCTTCCTTTATTTTTCTATCGTTCTTTAAACGGCCTAGGGAATCATTTGTAGAAATGACATTTAGACCTTCAAGAAAACAATTTGATGTTATATTCTCATTTGTTTTACTTTTTGGCATATTTGTCACAATAATAACATTTCGAAGTATTTGTTTAAGAAGACAAAGTAGGTAAGAGATTTTCTCTAATTCTGGGAATTCAACGAAGAGTATCAAAATATTGGATATATTTATTAATATTTCAAACTGATCGCGATAGACTGCTGCATCCCCTCTTAGATTTAACACTGTCATTTCTTTGACGATTTTGCACATACCTCCTGTTGTTGAGGTTTGATTAAAATTCCATGAAATTTCAATAGTACCATTATAAAGATTGCGCTCGAATTCTCCAAAGCTACAATTTCTGTGAAAAAAGGGAAAACTTGTTGAGTGATCCTCTTGCAATAGTTTGTTTATTGTCTCTGACTTTGATCGAAAGTCAGAATTTCCTATTCTGGCAAATGCGATCGTTTTCATACAAGTTGTTGCAACTGATCCCGAAGTATCGTCTATGAAGACGTTTCTCATCCCCCACAGATAACATACTAAATCTTGATAGCAGTCAAAGTAAATAAGGGGAATTGCTATTTTTAGCAAAGCAAGTTTTCTACCAACAGACTCTTGAGGAATGGATCACAGCATAACCACACAGTGTAAAATGTGTCCATTGGATGGACGGACAAATCTTCTTCCATTTTCGCTTCCTCTACTTCTTGCCATTTTGGAATAGGTGAACTGTAACTCTTCTCTATAAATCCTGTATTACATGAAATAATGGAATGCATGATAACCCATGGGATGTCTTTTGTAGTATTTGCACCGTCAAACCTCTTCTAGATATTTCCAATGCTTCCTGGACAGACAATTTTCCTGGAAAGTATTTCCTCAGGTCTAGCTCTTGAACTATGTATTGCAATTTCTCAGACATTTCTGACAAATGACAACGATCATTGACATTTTGTGTCATGATAGAGTCTATTGTATCATTTTCTAGCTCATTTTTCAAATGCTCCCAACATATGTTTTTATTTTTGTCTTCTTGTAAAAGTTTGGACAGCGATATCATAGCTTCTTTTAAATTTTTCTTGTCTTTAAGCAATGCTTTTACCTGAGGATCTAATCGTATGGTATTTTTCGCTATTTCTTCTGGGAGCTCTGTAAGGTCTGATGTTTCGGGTACCCACTGTGTTATGTTTTGAATAAGATATTGAACAACCCAGGCATGTTGTTTTATGATAGAATAACTTCCGTACTTTTCAAATATATCAAGACTTTTTTTAGAATGACGAGAAAGAGCAACTAATTTTTCCTGACCCATTTGTTCTTCAAATATACACTGTCGAAAATTGAAGCCGAAAAGAGAAAGTGCTGCAATCAGAAAAACGTACTCCGCTTACATTGTTTCGACTTCAGACATAAAAGAAATCTTTTTACTGTTCTTGTAAAGATTATCGTGATGTAAACGTTTAAAGAGATACTTAAGTCGGACCGCTTAGCGGCAGTTATGAGAAATTCCTCTTCTTCTATAAGAGAAAAAAATTGTTTCAGGTCTTTCACAAATATATCTGGGTATTTATCTTCCTCAGTAGGCATGTCTTCATTGATCCACTTTTCAATACTTTCCCGGTTTTTGAAATCTACATCCGATTTTGATAGCAGTCGTTTTAAATTTCGACGAACTTCAATTTCTTCTTCTTTGTTTGAGTTGTATTCAATAGCTGACCTTAACATGGAGGACATATCTGAGTTTTCTTTGAGCATGTCATGAAAAACAGACTTGTTTTCCAATTGAGCTACGTCATGATTAATATGCTTTAGCACAGCAATAATTCTTTCAATGCTTTGTTCTGATTTTAAATATTTGTGCAGTTTCTGAATAGTGGAATCAAAAATTTTTCTTTCACTTTCTTTAAAGTCAATGAACGTGCTATCTTTTTTGTACTTTTTCGTACAAACTCCGCCAAACTTGATTTGTTTTGGAAGGAAGATTTATCTTGCAAAATTAAGTTCCAGATTCCAGCCAAGGCTCCATTCTTAAAAATATCCCTGTGAGTAATAACCCAGTCCATACTACAGTCGTCACCTCCAAGAAGATCATCTGTAGAAATTACATCATGATATTCTTCCTGTGAGTGAACTTCTATTTTTCCGAAGTGAACCAATCCAATAATGATATGCGAACCATATGTTTTTAAAAACAGTTTACATTGAGTTTCAGCTGCATTCATTTTCTTACTCAATAAGAGGTGTTTATTTTTTTTAGGTTGGCAAGTGCGCCGCTACTGAAACAAAAATCCTCTAGTTTGGGTTGCCACGAGGCAAGAGGAATAGGAGTATAACGTGTATGAAAAGCCCCCAAATATCTTCGAACACGTTTTGGTACATTTTTCATCGCCCATAGCTCAGTATTTTCAATGCCATAATTAATTACTTTCCTTTCATATAGCCGGCGTTGGTGATAAGATCGAAATCTTTCTGTGTAGTGTAAGGGTAGCTTCCATGGTATTGAAAATTTTATATTTTCTTTTATTTCAATAACTTTTTCTCTACTATGCTCAAGAGTGTTCAATCCTGACAATTGAGTTCCTTTCAACAATACACCATGCGAGATATAACTGACAACTTCAGTTTCCGATTGACCTGATCGGTGGGTAATAAATTTAAATAAATCTATGCAAATATCGTCGGGTTTGTGGCTGTTGAACGTAAAGAAATTTCGTCTGGACTTTTACAGGAAGCTTTTTTTTCTGTACTGTACACAGAATATGGCAAAAAGTCGGAATCAGTGACGTGTTCACTTTTATCGTCTACCTTGTCGTCAGCCATTTTTTGGTCTAACTGGTAATTCGCATAAACCTTAACAGGCTTTCAGTGTTTTTTAATCTAAAATATCAAAATTATGTAAATATTCTTTCAAAATATTTAGAAAAAAATAGTTTAACTTTTTTTCTACTTAGAGAAAACGTTTAGATAGAAATGCAAAGTTATAAATGAAATTATGGTTATTTTAAAAATAATATTTACCTGCCGTCTCTCCTAATCTTACTGTAATTGTCTGTCTGTCTTGGAGAACGTACTTTTATTATGGGCATATAAATATTAAACTATTCCACATATATAACCCATTGTGATTGGATGAAAACTCGATCACGAGATAGTGGGTAGTTCTTTGCGTGATTATGTGTACATTTAAATAGCAGAAGAAAAATAATTATTTAAAAACACGTTTATAATGGTTTAACATATTCCATGGAATCATAACAGTAGCACACGTCGTTAAGGTTTCACCAAACGCCAACTTGTTCAAAAATTTATTTTTACAATAGCTCCAAAACTATGTGAAGTATAGAGTTAAAACTTTTAAAGTTTATAATTATATTTTAGGTTACAGAAAACGATGCTCATTTTTATATATATTTATATGCAACGGTGTATGCAGCGCAATGTAGAGCGATATTAAGAAACTTCGAAAAGACTTGTTGTCATGGATTGAACCGCAAAATGTGTTTAAATTTGTGTTTAATAAATAGGGAATTCCCATTAGCCTAAAGTTATTTTTTAACTTATGCACGTTAATCAACTTCAGATCATCTTTCAAAACTCTGAGCAAGGTACATTTGCCATTGTTACTTTGTATTGTTCAAGGCTTTTTCATACACTGTAGCGACACAGACACTAGGTAAAAAAAACATTAACAGGTCGCCAGTCGGTTTCTATGTTACGAAGACTATGCATTAAATAATCGTAAAATGTGATGTGTTTTTGCTTAACATGTTTAATGAGCTGGACATATCCGCTGAATGATTAAATGCGTTGTCTATATTTAGAGATAACTTTAATTATGCTTGTCGATGTAGAGAATAGTTTTGGGTTTCTCTGCAATACTCTCTTTGAAATAGAAAAAGGCCAAGACAAAACACATCAAAACAAAGTACATGTACATGCAGTTAGTCACGTAATCACACAATGTGTCCTATAAAGCCCAACGCGGGTTAAAGTACACAGACTTTATCTCGAAACCAGTGATAAAAATTTCGAAAACACCAGCGTATACGAGGTAAACACGTGTTTCGCTATTGAAATAAAATTTCCGTGCTTCAAGGACAAACATCATATGTTCAGATGCTGAACTTTGAACTTTGAATCAGCTTTCTCTAGTCGAGATAGGAATTTGGGTAGTAGTACTTTTTCGATCGATACTGTATCGGAATTCTGTTTTCCTGGAAGTCTAGCTAGCTAATACTCTAATGTACTTTGTGGGAAGAGTGGAGCAAAAAACACGAAGAAGAAAGTCCCCTTCTATATTTTTCTTATAATAGTATATATAAAAGAACATTAAAAAAGCAAAACAGGACGCTAAATGATTAATACTTCAAGTTTAAACCTGGAATTTCTATAACAGTCAAATGAACATATCATCAAAATTACCTAAGGTATCGTGTTTATTAGTTTGATTTAAATTTAAATTGAAATTACATCACAACTGAATCTATTATATTTATAATATAATATCATTATTTATTATAAGTTATTATTGTCTCTGGCAACACAAAAGCAAAGATTACATAAATAAATATTAAATATTCAAACTCAGATTCAAGTTCATAGTTCAAAGGTCAGAGTTCACAAACACCATCTCAGAATGTGGTAAAAGGAGGTGCAGAGGTCAAGCACTTATTTATGTATATCTAAATCCAAAGTTTACTTTTCAACTTTCATGAGTTACATGACTGGATAAATTTATAATACACAATAACAAGATGGAAAATTTTTACCGACCCAAGATGATGCTGGAATATTAAGGAAGTTGAAACCAAAGCAACCTTAGGTGTTTTTATTAAAAAGGGACAATACTCAACTAAAATATTAGACAAGAGCGATAATCACTAAGTATAACTATTGGGCAGTTATGCACATCCTTCAATAAAAGAAGCTAATTATGAGTGAATTTGCTTTGAATAAAGTTTCAAAAAAATGATTAAAAGTGGGTCACACTCCAAGGTCACGAGGTCAAATTTGGTAATACCAAAAGAAAGAAGTTGTCAAAGGGAATAAACCTGTAAAATGGGAAAGCCATAGCTTCGACCAATCATAATTTATGAACAAAGTTAAAGTTTTTATGGACAATCAAACAGACAGAGGGACAGGGCAAAAACTTCATACCTCGAATCCTCGATTATTGGGGCATAAAAATATATTATTTAATTAAATTTAAAGACATGTTTACAATCAATTACTTAACAGGATGTCAATATACCATATCGTCTGAACACATTAGCTTCATAGAAACAGAAAAAAATTCAGTCTTGAATGAAACATATGGAGATTACGAACAATATTCAAGATCAAAAGTCTATAAACGATACAAAATAGGAGCAGGGCAAACACGGACTTCCAAAACATCAGAGGTTGGATCAGGTGCCATGGAGGAGTGAGCATATCTTGCCGACCGGTCAAACCCGCTGTGCTCCTTGTCATGATCGGTGTATAAATTATGGACTAACAATTAGTATGAAAAACGTCAGTCAGCATTTGACACATTGATAAATTGTATTTGTTGGCAAGGTCATTGTATCGACCACAAAACTTACGAAATGATGACTTTAAAGGAGACTTCTGATATTCTTGTTTCATTATCTTGTTAACCTTTAACAATAATTTACCTTATTTTAGGAATAGTTCATATCATGCATAAGTAGATCATGCTGTTGCGTTTCGAATCAACTGAGATATAAACTCCGTATGCAGGTGATGAAGGTATAAGTAAGGAAAGTTAACGATAGATAAGTTAAAGTCATCACTTTATCATAGAGCTTTGTTGTTAGATTACAATTAACGTCTTTTTCACGTAAAATATTCAAATATGAAACAAATATATCAGACTCCTCGGTATCCTTTATCTCAAGCTCACCAGGACATATCGTATCGACGTAAGAATGGAAATTACCATTTTTTGTTAATTGACAATACGTCGTCAATATATCTAAATGTCGAGTTGAAGGCCACACCAAGTGTTTTCTTCTTTTCACGCATTTATAAGACTTTGCAAAAATGTTTTAATTTATCTTGGTCTAAACATAACCCCTGACAGAGGAGTAAAGATCGAGGCATTATTTGAACAAACATGATTTTTTGCTGATTGAGATTGTTTCTCTATTTCTCGACTAATCATGGCTTTGAAAAATCTTGAAAGACTTTTTAACTCACCTCAACGAAGTTGGGGTAGCTTATGTGATACACTTGGCGTCGGTGTCGGCGTAGGCGTCCCAAGTTATGATTATTTTTTTAGCAGTTTTATTTTTAAGTACTTTTATATCCTTTATTAATTAGAAATACATGGAAGATGCTTCTAGTTTTGTATTGTACCAGTCAAGGTTTCAGATGCTGCAATCTCAGCAAAGGAATGAACAAGTCTTTTTTTTTTAACAGGTTAACATTTTTGGTGCAGTTTTTGGTGAAGGTGTTATTCCCAAGTAACTAAGAGCCCTATGTTGACCAAACTTGCATGGATGATACATCTGAGGATGCATACTACCAGACTTACTTCGGATGCTGAATCTGAAACATTTCCGGATGAGTGAACAGGTTAATGTTTTTGTGCAGGTTTCATTTCCAAGTAACTATAAACCCTTTAATGACCAAACTTGCATGGATGATACATCTAAGGATGCATACATATAGGCTTGCTTCGGATGCTGAATCGATATCTGTCCTACATTTTCTTGATGAGTGAACTCATT